CTGCCAGGACAGGGGGAGTTTCACTGTAGTCAAACTCTTGCATGCCATGCTCTGCCGAGAAACTTAGTTTTCTGCTGAACATATCATCCGGTCACACATGATGAACACAAACAATAGTCCTGCATAACCACCATCAACTCACACTGCATTCTCTGTACGTGGAGATGTGCATGGCCAGCCCAGACCTTAGTTTTAAAAGTGTTTGGCCAGGTTTACGCAACAGGATGCCAAAGTTGAGTAATGGTGTACTAGCTGATATGCAAGCTTTTTAGGCGAGAGCGAAGGTGACTGTACCACATTCATCTGAAATTATGCAGAATATTCACTGGATGAAAACTACACATAACCAACTTAACAACGGCTGGCAATCCAGACCCATCAATAGCACATAGTAACTGCACACGCACAACAAACACAGCAGCAGCAGCAGCCCAACAACAACAACAACAACAACAACAACAACAACAACAACAACAACAACAACAACAACAACAACAACAATCTCTTATTGACCACTGATCACCAGGAGAATAAAATTATAATATCGGAAAAATTCAAACACACACACACACACACACACTTGTACTTTCTCACTGCCATGATTGGTCATGTGGGTCTCCCCGGGAAGGGGAGAGAAAATCAAAAGGAAAGATGACTCAATTGGCTATTGAACTGCCCAAAGGCCGACAGCCCTGAAATACTCAACCTCTGGGTGGACTAGGAAATGATCCTACTTATGGGCTCATCACACCTCCGTAAGTCGGTGAGGACAAGGTGCAGAAAAAGGATTGACGGCATTAGGGTATCCGTTCCGGGATCTAACTTCATCTACCCCTGCCCCCAGCAAAGATACTTGTAATATTTGCTACTAGTGTGGAAGGGAATGTCTCAGCCTCCTTGGGCCAAGATTGCATGATGAGCAAGCACCCACGAGTAGCTTTCCAATGGTGTGTCGCATGACAAGCTCACGTTAACGCCGAGACCATAGGTCGGTGTTGTGGGCTTGCTTTGCAGCCCCTACTCTCCCTGCTGTTTTGTTATTGTATACTCTGTTGTCTTCTCCCCTTCTGACGAGTAGGTTGTGTACTTAGTAAAACAAAAAAAACAAAAAAAACATTGTTCATTGATTTTCTGGTATCTCGTGCCGTGTTTTTAGTTTTTAAAGCGAATTTTCGGTACCTTGCTACCTTGTTTGTTAATGACAGTGTGACCATCGTGTTCGGCGTCCTCGAATCATTTTAGATAGTTTCAATGTAAGGTTCTCCTCCATAGCCGTTTTGAGCCGTTTGAGGAACTTTTGCTCAACGACTGGAGTTGGCTGGAGTGCATTATGTCACGGTATAGGAGGAGCTCGGCATGATGGAGCGAGCAGACTTTTGGCTTGCAAATCCATGGCGGCTACTGTCGAGAATGTGGAAGCAGACTTTTGGCTTGCAAATCCATGGCGGGTACTGTTGTTCATGTGGAGAATGTGAAAGTGCTAGAGCAGGAGCGGATTATTCCAGTCCACCGAAGCAGGACACATCCCGTCTAACACATACGACGGTTTCTCCGCCACTCTCCAACATCACTACAATTGCACTTAGCGCGCATATTCATGAGGTCGGACGAACCCACTTTCGCTGTCTCCGACAATTGCACACCAACTTTATGACCTAATATCTCCGGTGTAGGGCAAGGTATTCTCAAGAACCTTTCTGTTTAGTCTACAGAGTTGCCTCTATCCAGTCATGGAATTTGCGGAACAGAAATCCAATTTTAGATCTTAGGACTGAAGTTAGTAGTAATAGAAGCATTCAAAGCGTAAACATGCTGGTTAGGGAGCGCGACATTTTGAAACAGGGCTCAAAAACGAAATGCTTACCTTTGCTTGTTGATGTCACTAGTAGTTGACGTTGGATGTGAATTCCTTCAGCACATTTCGAGAAGCGGAAACGATCCTGCTGTCACTGAGTGATTGCTCAGATGCTACGAAAATCTAGATAATTTTCAGCTTCGGACAGCTAGCTGTGTCTACCTTAACCGTCAACGGAGGACCCCAATCGGCTAAGGTATGCTTATCTACAAGTACTATCGAGTGCAGTTTCCTTCGGAATGCTGGTGACAAGAAGGGACCTGAAAGCTGCCACTCTCTGCTCTCTGCACAGCAGTGCAGACTAGACACAAGACGATGAAGACCTGAAGACTGGGTGGGGAGAACAAAACTTCAAAAGTCAAAAAGTGACTCGTCTACACGGTAGACCTACGTCCTCTACTCCTACTTCAAGTACCTACTTTATTAGTCCTCTACTACTAGGCTGTAGAGTGTAGTGAGTAGTCGTGTAGTCCTGAACACTAGTATTACTTACTTTCACTTGTCTTGAGCCTGGCCCTTGCCTTATTCACAGATTCACGGAGTTGAAGCGGCAGAGGTGCGTGGTTTTCTCACGCGCAGTGATCATGGTGACTAATGCCATTGCCAGGCATGGCACACCGGTAATCGCTCATACTACTGTAGCATGACTTGTCTAGTCGTCTGGACTGGTGCGATGCTCGTGCATGAGCGAAACAGCTAGCACAGAAGAGACAAGACAACTTACTTACTTAGTCTTTCAAAGTGACAAGGCAGGTACTGTAGATCTACTACTTACTAGTACATGTACTGAGTAGATCTACTACTAGGTGGGTTTCGCGCCTCCGATCAAAACTTCATAAAAGTGACACTTTACAAGTGACCATGGTGACAGCTCGCACCTCAAGGGCCAAGGCTCTGCGCTAGCTACAGTGCGTTTTTTTATAATAGACTCTGAAAACCTTGAGAACGTACTCAAGGACACTTTTGAGAAAATGTCATGCGAGTTGCGTCACGAAAATCTGCGCGCGAAATTCGAAAAACCAGGTGTGACTCGTGGCATTTCGCCATCTTGTTCGGAGTGTCCTTCGAGCTCCTTGCCTCGTGGCCGGAGGAATCATTTTGTTGCTGACTGCTCTGTGGGCCTGTGGCCCTATTTTGCTTTTTCTCGAGTGTCTTTTCGTTCGTGGCAACTTGTTCTCTCGACATGCCACATAATTATAACAAAACGCGAACGGGCCATGGTACATGGTGGTGTCTGTTTTACAATTTGTTGCGAAGACGAGGAGAACAATGGCTGGGCATCGAATTGGTCCCAAGTATTCCATTCGCCATGCTGCTGTTGCGTGTGGCGTCAGCATTTCCACCATGAACAGATGTACCAGGGATGCTGACGGCGAAAATCAGCGTGCTGCGTTGGCCTTGTCTGTCTCCAGTGATGAAGGCAACGAGAGTGACAATCCCCGATGTGAGACTCGTGCCATGAAACCACTCAATCCTGATGGATTTGCTTTGGACTGTATAAGAAATAATTTACGGATTCTATGCTGCGAAGGAGGACCCAACACTGGACAAAGTTCCTGCTCGCTGCAGAGAAACCATCGACGATTTTCCAGACATGAGCAAAACTAGCTCTTGGAAATGTTGCGTTCCATGGGATTCCAGTGTGGCAAGACCAGAGGTATCACACAAATAATGATGGAACAGCACAGGATTGTGTCATGGCGGCATCGCTACCTGTGAGACATACCTGGATGAGACGTGGGTCAATGCGCGTCACACAGGTACTAGGAGGTGGTACGACAATGGTGACAAGAGTGTATAGGCAAGCAACCAAATGAAGCACCATCAGGTAAAGGCAAGCGCGTTATTGTTCTGCATACTGGTGGACGGGACAGATTCGTGAAAAACTGCGCCGATGTGTTCGTGACTGGAGGCCGGCGCCAACGATGATATACGTCGTCGGCTGTCCGAGCACATCTGTTCACTGTGTAATACTGTCGTCACAAGTGCAACACAAAACACGGAATTATTGGGGCCGTTTCGTTCCTCGCTGGTCTTCTACTATTCGCAGATGTTGAACCAGACACAACTGTGACCTATTTGCATTGTGTGTGTGTGTGTGTGTGTGTGTGTGTGTGTGTGTGTGTGTGTTTGTGTGTTTGTAAAACTGCTCATGCTTCCTTTTTGTTAGTCTCTTTATGGGAGCTGTGTGAATTGCCTTTGTGATTTGTTGTGGTGTTTGAATTTTCACTGCATTCTTTCAGGGATCGAGGGAAGTTTCCTACATGCATGCTGGAATGTTTTGATTTATTGAGCTAATTGCAATACAGGATTTGAATTATTCAGTACAGTTTGCCACAATAAGTCGTGAAAAGCCACGACTCACTGATTTCCTACAAAGGTTAGGAGAACTGCAGGCAGCAGTGCACAACTGCACAGCCATGTGCATGTACATGCATGCGCTGTACTACAGTATACCGAAAAAGAAAAGAAAAAAAAGAATCAAGATGAACTGTACTGGATTCGAACTCATGCCGGGCACCATGCAAGTGATGAGCTTTCCTGGCTAAAACTTCCGTTTAAAAAATCAAAATCCACTGAAAACCATTTAAAACCGGATTTCCAGCCGAAACCCGGCCGAATATCTAACTTTGACAATTATTATTATTCCGACTCCCAAACTTAATTTTCTTCGATCCAAGACCCACACAAACGCAGCTGTGAAGAAAAAATTTCAAATTTGGAATGAGAACAAACTAAAAAATCAAAATCGACAATGGTCTGTTATAAAAAAACGCACTGTAGCTGTCATTCAGATCAGAGTTCATCCCCATGCATGACCATGCATGTCGCATGGTCATGCCATGAGTACTGTACTCTGTCAGTGACATGCGCATGCAGTGCACACACCATGTAACTGCCGACTGCCGTGGGGTGATAGTGAATGATGCATGACCTCAGATCAGGCAGGCCAGCTACAGTCAGTTACATGTACTTCAGGCCTAGGCTAGAGTCAGTAGTACTAGTAGATCTACATGTAGTAATAATACTACATGTAGTACAGTCAGTAGCGGAGCGGTGCAGCCGGTAGCCGGCACGTGGTGCATACCCTTTACTCACTCGCGATCGCATGCTCATTGTTTGAGAAGAAAGGAAAGTGTCAAGCTTGAAAGCGCAACCTTTACAACCAGCATCAGATAAAATAAAATATCCACGTCCATCTGTTTCTGCTCTTCAGTTCTGTTTCCCGCTAGGAGAAGATTTTAGGGCAGGTGTGAGTTTGTGAAGTTAGTTCCTTGGCGGTGGGCGCGTTATACCTTACTGCAACGATGTGCGGCATATTCGCCTATCTCAATTTTCTCCTGCCTCAAGATCGCAAATACATCCTGCGAGTATTAGTGGATGGTTTGAGACGATTAGAATATCGTGGATATGACTCGGCTGGAGTAGCCGTGGATAGTGCTGTGGACGAGAAAACGGAAAGGCGTCAAATCCATCTCTTGAAACAGCGTGGCAAAGTGCAAGCCTTGAAGGATATGATCGATGCGTGCACCGACTTGGATTTCAATGAAAAGTTGACAACGCACGTGGGTATTGCACACACACGCTGGGCCACCCATGGTGAGCCAAGTCCGCAGAACAGCCATCCACAGCGCAGCGACACCGAGAACGAGTTTGTTGTGATTCACAACGGCATCATCACGAATTTCAAAGTGCTGAAGCAATTCTTGCAGAACAAGGGCTACGTGTTTGAGTCTGAGACAGATACAGAGGTGATTCCTAAGCTGCTCAAGTACATCCACGACACAACCGAGGAGAAACTGGAGTTCTGGCAGTTGGTCGAGCGTGTCACCCTGCAGCTGGAGGGTGCATTTGCACTGGCCGTAAAGAGTCGACGATTTCCCGACGGACTGGTGTGTACGCGACGCGGCAGCCCCTTGCTGGTGGGTGTGCGCAGTAGCAGTGAAGTGAGCACAGATCGTGTACCTGTGGTGTACAGCTGTGATGCTGTGGATAACAAACAAGCACAGCAGCAGCCTGGTGATGAGCACATCCAGGTTGGGCGACATCCTGGTATCACGACGTACGCTCCGGACGGCAAGCAGACACCGATCGAGTATTTCTTTGCCTCCGACCCGAGTGCGGTCATCGAGCACACAAAGCGCGTCATTTACCTGGAGGACGATGACATTGCTGCGGTGACCGATGGCTGCTTGAGTATCCACCGCCATGAGCGGATCGATGAAGACGAGAATATGGTCCGATCCGTGCACACGCTCAAGATGGAGCTGCAGCAGATCATGAAAGGCAATTTCGACGCGTTCATGCAGAAGGAGATCTTTGAGCAGCCGGAAAGTGTCGTCAACACCATGCGTGGCCGTATCAACTTTGCAGAGAATAAGGTCACCCTCGGTGGACTGTCATCGCACCTGAACGAGATCCGTCGCTCGCGTCGCTTGATCTTCATAGCGTGCGGTACAAGCTACCACAGTGCAATGGCGACCAGGCAACTTCTGGAAGAGCTGACGGAGCTGCCCGTGATGATTGAGCTGGCTAGTGACTTCCTGGACAGGAGTACGCCGATATTCCGGGACGATGTCTGCTTCTTCGTGTCTCAGTCGGGTGAGACAGCAGACACTCTGCTTGCATTGAAGTAAGTTCACAAATGATCAAGACAATGCTTCTTTTCATCTGTACCATTCAGACTTAATCATGGCACACCGTTCTAGCTACAGTCAACTTTGCGTATAGCGACACTTGGCAGGGCATCGGAAAAGTGTCCTTATTCGCGAAGTGTCCATATACCCGAAGTCTCATTTTATGTATTACAGTTAGATGGGACTTTGCTCTGGGCATGGAAATTCTGTCGTTATACGCGAATTGTCATTATTATCTCAGTCGTTATCACCGAAGTTGACTGTACCGTAAAGTAACGTTGATCCGCCCCCACTCCATGTCGCTTCCCAGCTGGGTTTTCGGCAGGGGCGGGAATTAGATCAAGGCTGTCAAGTGCAGTACGATGTACAACAACATGGAGGATCAGACTCGATGTGCTGGATTGTGCACATTTTCATCCTGGATTGGCACGTATTGTGTACAGCAGTGCAAGCGTCGGTTCAACATCGTATTTCGTTGTATACGCCGAAATCGCTTCACAGGTAGAAAATCGACAGGGGGTGGGAATTAGAGAGGGGGCGGATCAACGGTACTTTACGGTATGTGATGGAACACATGTTGAGTGATTTCTGTTTTTGCATCACTCGAATGATCATGTATCAAATCCACAAAACCCCAAACCAGAGTGAAACGGCTGTCTTGTATCCAAAGTCCAAAACGGGTTACATTGCCATGCTCTGGAGTGCTCTGGAGTGGTGTTCAGTGTTTAGTGTCTTGCATAGACACATAATGCGTGTTGCTCAGCACAATCTTGAACTTGGTTCAGGTTCTTGCAACCTGGCCTACTTTGGACCCGCAAAAGGCAGCAATGCATACATGTATCTATAATCACAGCATTGAGATAATATTTTTGCCTCGCCTTTTGCTTATCCTCAAAACGTCATCGGTAATGATAGCTGCATGTCTCATAGTTGCGTCTCCAGGCACCGTACAATATAATTAAACACTCTCTAATGTACCAACTGAGTGATCGTGTTGCCTTGTACAATCCTGGCCAGAGAAATCTGACCTAATGAAAACACTAGTACCGGGGGCTACGCGCCAATAGCACTACACACATCACTCTGCTCACTTGAGCGCAGCACTGCTTTATTCCTGTGGTTGGATTTCTCTGGCCAGAAGTGTATATTACATGTTCCAATCCTACCTTGTGAGGTATCTCAATATTTTGTTTCATGTTGTTTGTGTGTGTGTGTGTATGTGTGTGTGTGTGTGTGTATGTGTGTGTGTGTGTGTGTGTGTGTGTGTGCGTGTGTGTGTGTGTGCGTGTGTGTATGTGTGTGGATGTGTGGATGTGTGTGTGCGTGTGTGTGTGTGTGTGTGTGTGTGTGTGTGTGTGTGTGTGTGTATGTGCGTCTGCGTGTGTACACATGCATGCATGTATATGTGTGTTTAGGTACTGCAAAGGTCGCGGTGCATTGTGCGTAGGCATCACCAACACAGTCGGTAGCTCTATCTCTCGCATGACCACCTGTGGTGTGCACATCAATGCTGGTCCTGAGATCGGTGTAGCCAGCACCAAGGCCTACACCAGCCAGTTTGTATCTCTGGTCCTGTTTGCTCTCATGATGTGCGAGGATCGGGTCAGCCTGCAGCCTCGCCGTCAGGCAATCATTGAAGGTAGGCTGCTGACCTGGCATGTTTTCGTGCCTGTACTTGTCATTACTACCCTGAACATGCCTGTCCATATGGATACCCGTACTTGTGTGTGTGCGTGCGCGCGCGTAGGGTAGCATCACTCATCCTTTTCTACTGAGAAAGGTTGGGCGTTGTGGACCGAATTCTTGTAGTTGCTCAATGTTGAAAATTGATTTATTGTGTTGAATGTGAAGGCATGTCGGCTCTGGCATTTGCAATGCCAGTGCTTCTTGTTTTCTGGTGTGCACATGTGAACGGTGTGCACGTTTGAATGGGGTGCACGTTTGAATGCCAAACATGTTCTCCCGTTGTTGTTGTTTTTTTTTACAAAAAAACACACACCATTTGACGGCACAAAGCAGCAAGGCAGCGATGGGACATATGGAATGGCAGGAGTGGGGAGAGGCAGGGGCAGCTTGACCGACCATAGGGTCTCGGCTTCATTGCAACCCAAGCGCTCCACAAAAGCAAAAGATTACAGAAAATACGCAGGGGGGGGGGGGGGGGTTGTGTTTGTCATCAAAGCCGTTCATGCCAAAATACCTTCATCGGAATGCACCATCACGGCTGTGGCAGTTGTTTTGTTCGTGAGGTTGAATTCCTTTTTGCCACCACCGTAGTGTATGGACTACAGTGCTGCTACTCAATGGTATCGCAGCTCCCACCCCCCTCCCCCCCCCCCCCCCCCCGTGCGCCATTGCCCTGAGCTGGTCTACATCCCAGTGTTTGCAGGTCTAGGGATACGCAGCTCCCAAAGTGGAATTTATTTGCTTGCTCGGATTTTGTTGAGGAGCACTGTACTTTTAAAGTAGCACAACCCTACAATCTACTTCGTGTATTGCTGCCGTCGCTGCTGCTGTTGCTGCTGTTGCCGTCGCTGCTGCTGCTGCTGGTGGTGGTTCTGCTGCTGCTGTTGCTGCTCGTGCTGCCGCCATCGCTGCGCCCCCCCCCCCCTCCCCTGCTGCAGGTGCCGCTGCTGCAGGTGCCGATGCTACAGGTGCCGCTGCTGCAGGTGCTGATGCTGCTGCTGCTGCTGCTGGTACTGCTATCTACAAGTACAAGCATCTTTTGTATGTTTTCAACTTTGGGTGTTATGTTGAGTTCCCATGTGTTAGTCTTTGCAGATTTACCAATTGCGTTTGAGTACTGATATTTGGAATGTTCGCTCTGTGAATTATTTGCTGCATGGTTGTGTGTGTTTGTGCGTGTGTGTATGTGTGTGTGTGTGTGCATGCGTGTCTGTACACCTGTGTGTGTGTGTGTATGTGTATGTGTGAATGGGCGTGTGTGTGTGCATGCGTGTATGTGCACCTGTGTGTGTGTGTATGTGAATGGGCGTGCGTGTGCTTCCTCCATGTGTGATAGGCCTACGCCAGCTACCTGACCTAATCAAAGAGGTACTAAAGCTCGACTCCAGTATCAAAGCCTTGTCGGCTGAGCTGATTGACGAGAAGAGCTTGCTGATGATGGGTCGCGGCTACAACTTTGCTACTTGCCTGGAGGGCGCTCTGAAGGTGAAGGAAGTTGCGTACATGCATTCTGAAGGCATCATGGCAGGTGAGCTGAAGCATGGTCCTCTAGCTCTGGTCGACTCCAATATGCCGGTACTGATGATCTGTGTTCGAGACGGTACCTACACCAAGGTTCAGAATGCCCTGCAGCAGGTCCTGGCACGCTCTGGACGTCCCATTGTCATCTGTCAGGATGACGATGACGAGATCACCAAGCTCAACGTTGGCCGTCAGCTGCGCATCCCGCATTGTGTGGATTGCCTCACCGGTATCCTGTCAGTCATTCCGCTGCAGTTGCTCTCCTTTCATCTGGCCCGGGCGCGGGGCTATGATGTAGATTGCCCTCGCAATCTTGCCAAGTCGGTCACTGTCGAATAGAGTGTCTCTTGCCAAGTCGGTCACTGTCGAATAGAGTGTCTCTTGCCAAGTCGGTCACTGTCGAATAGAGTGTACGAATACGTGCAGTGATGAGGCCAGTGTCCATTTGCTCATCGTCTCTCCATGGTATGTTTAGACACATTTAGTGTGGGGTGCAGCATCAAACTTGTTTTCAAGTTTTGAAATTATTCTTCTACAAGCTAGCAGCTACCAAGTAGACCGGCACACGTGCAGTGTATTGTTTTGTGCTACTTCATGTTATGTGTCCCAGTACATCACATACTCTGTGCATCCTAGGGTATCACACACTCTGTGTGTCCTACTGTATCACATACTCTACATGGACGCTTTGGTCTATTCTGTGAGTGGACAAAGAGGAGACTCTGCTGCCATGTGTCTATTTCAAATGCACTGTACATTATTTTAATCTTAGCCCGTTGCTATCATTTACAATGGATATTTCACTCTAGGTACATGTAAGCCCGGATTACATGATTCATTCAACTTTTCACATTTGAATTTACCCTGTATTCTCCACGCAATAATGTAATCTCTACTCACAGAATTCGTTATAATATATTTCTAAAACAGCTGTGGATTAGGACCACAGCTCTGCAGTGTTGTCGTTTTATGATCTTCTCTCTACACTGCACTGCTAGTATAAAGCTGTTACCGGTATGCTGTAGTACTCATTGCCAGTGTTTTGTGCTTAGATATTGTGTCGGTGTTCTAGATCAAGTACTCTACAACAACTAATAATATTAGTAACTTCGTGTATTATTGAATACCAGAGATAGCTGGAAAACTTTTTTCAATGTTTTCCTCCAAAACAGCAAACAATGTCCTCTGTCTAAATGGTATGGTCATGCGTGGGCCGCACTGTCGCAGGTGGTGTTGCCGTGTAAAAAAACTGTCAAGACAGTGCTTTTGAGTTTTGTAGCACACACTGCATGGTTTGCATCCGTATAGTAGACTGCAGCGCATTCCTCCGACTGTGCAACTGCAATGTTGGTTGGATTTGGCTTGTGGTTGTCTTCCATATGCACGCTCATCGGCAGTCGACGCTGCCACTGACATCAACAGGACATGCATGCCCGAGCACAGCAGCATCACTGACTTATGCAGAGCACAAGACTTTCACTGGGCAACAATCACTCACTCACTCGCAGTCAAACTTGGCTTGACATGCACTGGCTGGAAGAGGAAGCACTATTCAGACTGCTCCTTGGGTCAGCATCACACCCGGTAGCGGCGACGGTTACCATGGTTATAGCATATTCTATTAATAATACACACACCGGAGGATGTACTCAGTGTGCTGATAGTGATCAAAACCGCGGAGGCAGAGCGAAGTACACAGAACCGTGGACGCAGAGCGAAATACACAGAACCGTGGACGCAGAGTGAAATACACAGAACCGCAGAGGCAGAGCGTAATATACAAAACTGTGGACGCAGAGCGAAATACACAGAACCGCGGACGCAGAGCGTAATATACAGAACCGCAGAGGCAGAGCGTAATAGTATACACCGAACAAAAATAGGCAAGGCTGCCCATGCTGCCCACGTAACTCGTTGCCTGATGATTGCTTAAAAGCATGAAACTGGGAGTAGCGATAAACTAGCATTGCCCATTGCATTCTAAATAAGAATATTACATAACCAATGCTAACTATCAGCTGTGTCAATGGATTCCAGCTGGATGTTGGCTTCTCTTGTCCTGCAGCATTCACCTCTACTCTAGGCCTTTCCTCTGACCCATTGCAGGGTATATGGGTGCAGCAACCTCTCCATCTGAAAACTATCCCCGCTTCTCAATATTGTAGCAGGGCTGCTCACAATACCTATGTGACGACGCATACTCTCGCAGCAGACAGCACAGGATCAGTACAGAGGATACACAAAACGAGTTGCACATCATAATAAATTATTACATACAGCATGGAATCAGTAACTGTAAGATATTCATAAGTTTGAGGGAGTTGTAAACAGAACAAGTCTGAAGAACACTCAGTCAGAATGAAAATCAAGAAAGAGCTCCACAAGCTTGTTACTGAGTGACTCGCCACTATTTTTCACCATCTCGGGAATAACCCCGGAGGCTACTACCTTTCACCATCTCGGGAATAACCCCGGAGGCTACTACCTTTCACCATCTCGGGAATAACCCCGGAGGCTCCTATCTTTCACCATCTCGGGAATAACCCCGGAGGCTCCTACCTTTCACCATCTCGGGAATAACCCCGGAGGCTCCTGTGCTGAGGTACATACATAACTGTTCTCGTCCACGATTGCAGCTGTTTGTTCTGTTTGTTCTGGCCGCAAGCCGCCATGTACTACAGTGTGAAGATCGTGAATGCACTTCCACACCACAGCACCATTTTAAAGATGGAAGTCAGTGGCCTCCTGAGCCCTGGCCTAGATCCACTGGAGCGTCTTGCCGTGTCGACGGCAGCACATGTGTATGATCGGCTGGTATTGAACTTGAGGTGATAAGGAGTGCTGTGTTGATGATCATGGCGGAGCCAATCCTCATAGGCTGCATGCCGGACGTTCAATGAATGCACTAAGCTTGCTATGGCCTCGTACAACCAATCGGGCTGGTGGCGTCTGGAGAAGTTGATAGCCATAGATGCAGCATTGCCAAGAGCGGATTTGATCGTAGACAACTTCTCATTCATATCAGCGTTCTCTGCCTTACCACATTGGATCTTTTCCTTGATCACAGCCTGGTAGACATCAGCAGGGTAAAGGTGCCCTGGGTCTCGTGTCCTGCAGTTCCTCAGTTCTGTTGGGATACATTGAACCAGCGCCTGACACCACCCCTGAAATTCTTACTGCCCCGTAACGGACGGGGTGCCTGCAGGGCCATGTAAAACAGCTGGTGATCGCTGCCTCACTCCGTACTTCTGATAGCAGACATGTCTTTACACAACTCATGGTCCTCTTGCTGCATAACGACGTAGATGCACACACCTACATAGACACATCCACATTCACACATGCATACACCAACAGTTGTACACACACTTGTCCACACGCACGCACACACACACATACACACACACTCACACACACACGCACACACACACACACACACACACACACACACACACACACACGCACACACACACGCACACACGGACGCACGCACGCCCACGCACGCCCACGCACGCCCACGCACGAACGCACGCACATACACAAACACACACATAATATGCACAGCACCACTGTCAGGCTCTTTCCACAATATTTGACAAGCTTCAACACACTCCCAACAAATAGGGCAGGATTTATACCAATCGACTCAAAGATACGGAAGGAAGAAACGTTTGCAAGTGGGAGCAAATACTGATAATTTCAAGTTGTTGTTATAGTCATCTTGCAGCAGTTCTTGTGGTGTAGAAGTGAGGAGGAAAGAACAATTTTTATAAAAATTGGAAATCTGAAGAAGAAGAAGAATTGGGTTTCAATTTTTTTCTTGGACAAAGAAGGGGAAGCCCTGCGGCAGCAACGCCTTGTCCAAAGCTGGACCAGCTACCAAACCCGCTGTGCTGAGCAGCTCGCCGGGACTGGAATGACCACTGCTTTGCCAGTTGAGGAAAACATGCGCAGAATTGCTGTTGTCACGGAGTTTCTTAAGGCTGGAACACTGTTGACTAAGATCAGTGCATTGAGGTCTCTTTTGCAGGAAGGATCACAGCGGGTAACTCATGCCAGTAACATGACCCTTGTACGTTACGTTTGTTCTTGAAACCGAGCAAAATGAAGTCGAGGAAGATCTCAAGGATTACTCACATGTTTGTGCAGTATTCGATGGAATAATTTACTAGTACTTACCTGGGTGAAGCTCTCGTGATCATACTTCGCTTTGTGAAATGAGAGATTGAAATTTGCCAGAGACTTGCGCGTCTTCATGTCTTGACAAAGAGCCTCAATGGACAGCAGCTAGCTCGGTAAGTTGTGTGTGTGTACTAGCCTAGCAGCTTCAATACCCGTCGGAGAAAGTTGTTGCTGTTGCTAGGGATGGAGCTAGTGTTAACAGAGCTGCTGTTGGATACCTAAAGGATGTGATGTATCCTGATCTTGCAGACATTAAGTTATCTGCATGTCAGACTCCTTGGACAACGTCGGCAAGCGCATTGAAACACCTGTACTTGATTCATTCCTCCAGCTTTGTTTTTCACTGTTGTTGCTCGTAGCCCAGCTGCTAAGGCAGCATGGAGAGAAGAGCAGCATCTCATAACAGAAAGGGTATCAGGAGTAGCACATTCTTGGGAGCTTATAATACTATTGATAAAAGATAGTTGTGTCTGTTGATGAGTGTTTTAGTGTGTCTGTTGGTGTGCCTGCTGGGGTATGTATATGTTTGTGTACATGTGTGTGTGTGTGTGTGTGTGTGTGTGTGTCCTTCCCAAGACCAATCTCAACGGGTGTACTGTCTTATCTGCCACCGTTTGTTTCGCCGGCCAGGTGACAAAGCAAGGCACAAGTGTCGCGCAGAGCGGAGTCTCCTCATCCAGGATCAGCGTGGTGCTGTGCAGTGTGGTACATGCAGGAGGTGGTTTCACTCTCGTGGTGGCTTGCGTGTGCATCATTGTTTGCCCCTGGAACCATCAGAAGAGTCCGCACCGGCATCATCTATTCCGCTCAACGTCACAGCTTCTCTCTTGTGTGTGACATGCAATCGGCAATTCAAGTCAGTGCCTGGTTTCAGACGTCACAAGTGCGACCGTGGCCATCGAGCAACCAAGTCTGACAGAGCGTCATAATGGTGTTTGCTGTTCTCACTGCAACCGTCAGTTCCGTCGACAGAGTGACCTGAGTCGTCATCTCCGTTTCTGCTCCTGACAATGACTCTGGCTCCTTTCGGAGTGGTGTGGCCCTTGTGGCAACCAAGCTACAGTAGTAGTAGTACTTGAAAGTAGTAGTAGTAGTAGTAGTAGCAGCAGCAGCAGCAGCAGCAGCAGCAGCAGCAGCAGCAGCAGCAGCAGGAGCAGGAGCAGGAGCAGGAGCAGGAGCAGGAGCAGGAGCAGGAGCAGGAGCAGGAGCAGGAGCAGTAGCAGTAGCAGTAGCAGTAGCAGTAGCAGTAGCAGTAGCAGTAGCAGTAGCAGTAGCAGTAGCAGTAGCAGTAGCAGTAGCAGTAGCAGTAGCAGTAGCAGTAGCAGTAGCAGTAGCAGTAGTAGTAGTTTTTTTTTTTTTTCATGATAGCAACAGCCTCTTTTACGGGCAAGATTAAAAATTAAAAGCAACACAATGATGAGAAAACAAGAGGGGTAAACACAATAACTTTATCAAAGCTGTTGACTCACGCATACACACACACACACACAAGATAACAATGATACTCAGTACCTAGACTGCAGGAGTTGCAAAGAAAGTTAAATCAATGCAGCCTCCGCGTTTGCGAGGACAGCAGACTGATCATTGACGCGGCGCATCCGCCGGGCACCACGAAGGCAGGCAACACTGGCACGCAGGAGACCAAAACCAAGACGACAACGCAGCAACGCCATCACCATTGCGTATGGCTCTCCGGATTTCTCTGCAGACAGAGCAGCAATTCGCTTGAGAAGAGCGGAAGCAGCTCGACCGGCTCCACCTGTGGCTGAGAATACGACAGGTACGAAGGAGGCTCGCTCAACTTCTTGCACCCTCTGACCATACCTGCGACGCTTCTCTCGCTCATGGCTCTGGTAGCGAGCAGCGAGAGAAGAGGAACGGTTTGAAGGAGCGAAAGGGTTAAACACCCGTACATCAAGATAAACGCGTTCAAACCGTCTTCCCCACACGCCACTCGCCGCCACATCCAGACGGGCTTGATCCTCGGTGGACGCCGTCCGGTAGCGGAAAAGCTCGCCGGTGAGTAGTAGTAGTAGCAGTAGCAGTAGCAGTAGCAGTAGCAGTAGCAGTAGCAGTAGCAGTAGCAGTAGCAGTAGCAGTAGCAGTAGCAGTAGCAGTAGCAGTAGCAGTAGTAGTAGTAGTGTGTGTGTCAGCTAGTTGAGTTGGTGGGTACACTTATGTCAGACAGTGTTGGGTCTGTTACCAACGGGCTCGGCTGCTTGAAGGTGTGATGTTGTACCTACCACCTTTGTTGGTCTCAGGTTCATACTTTCTATTTGAAGTATACATACCTGTTAGCCCCATCCCTCACACAAACAAGTCAACAAAGAGGCATCTTTGGGTTGAGGAGTGCTGGTTTCGAAACAACTGGTTTGAAGCTCAAAGTAGAGCTGGTGTTAGCTCAGAGCAGAGCTGCTGTTAGCTCAAAGTAGAGCTGCTGTTAGCTCAAAGTAGAGCTGCGGTTAGCTCAAAGTAGAGCTGCGGTTAGCTCAAAGTAGAGCTGCTGTTAGCTCAAAGTAGAGCTGCTGTTAGCTCAAAGTAGAGCTGCGATTAGCTCAAAGTAGAGCTGCGATAAGCTCAAAGTAGAGCTGCTGTTAGCTCAAAGTAGAGCTGCTGTTAGCTCAAAGCAAAGCTGCTGTTAGCTCAAGGTAGAGCTGCTGTTAGCTCAAAGTAGAGCTGTGGTTAGCTCAAAGTAGAGCTGCTGTTAGCTCAAAGTAGAGCTGCTGTTAGCTCAAAGTAGAGCTGCGATTAGCTCAAAGTAGAGCTGCGATTAGCTCAAAGTAGAGCTGCGATTAGCTCAAAGTAGAGCTGCTGTTTGCTCAAAGTAGAGCTGCTGTTAGCTCAAGGTAGAGCTGCTGCTAGCTCAAAGTAGAGCTGCTGTTAGCTCAAAGTAGAGCTGTGGTTAGCTCAAAGTAGAGCTGCTGTTAGCTCAAAGTAGAGCTGCGGTTAGCTCAAAGTAGAGCTGCGGTTAGCTCAAAGTAGAGCTGCTGTTAGCTCAAAGTAGAGCTGCTGTTAGCTCAATGTAGAGCTGCAATGCTAAATGGATGTAATATAGCGCAAGGCAGAGCCACAGCAAATAGCTAGATAACACCAGTTGTGAGAGTGGACCCGATTAGTGGGTACGATAATTATAATGATGGTATGAATAAGTTGGATAGGGAGGGATGGTGGGAAAAGAAACACTGCTGAAGCACGATCCGTTGTCTGGAAGAGCACAACAGGGCAAGCAAGATTTGTTTTTCTTTTCCGCAAAATGGGCTGGTGCCATTTGTGATTACGCAGCAAAACAAAGCGCATGACGTCAGTCTTGAATGCAGTACAAAGCAATGCAGTGCAGTGTGTGCGCTAGTTCGGATTGATCCAATTAGGTCCACCCACAGGTTCGCTCGTGCCGGATAGATTAAAGTCAGGGGATAATGATTTGATGATGTTGAGCTACGTGATAAAGAATAGTTTCCAAAAAGATAAACACGGTGTGACAAGGGTAAGGACTGCACGCAAGGCAGTGACTAAATAGTCCTGCACGTGGAAATAGCACTGAACAGTGCTGTGCATGTAATAATTCCGTTTGTTCCTGGTCCTGTTTGTTCCTGTAATGGCTAGATTAACTCTTGTGTAATCATGGTGCTAGTGAAGATTATATCAGATCCACTCTGATTTAGCCACCCACACTAGTAGCAAGTATTACCTTCACTGGGGGCAGGGGTAACTGCAGTTGGATCCCGGGACGGACACCCTGATGCCGTCAATCCTTTTTCTGCACCTTGTCCTCACCCACTTACTGTGGTGTGCCCATAAGTGGGATCATTTTCAAGTTCACCCAGAGTTTTGGGGATTTCAGGGGGTGTCGGCCATTGGGCGGTTCAATAGCTAATTGACTCATCTTTCCAAGATTCCTTTTGAGTCTCTCTCCCCTCTGCCGGGGAGACCCACGTGACCAGTTTTGGCAGTGAGCAACAAGTACAAGTGTGTGTGTGTGTGTGTGTGTGTGTGTGTGTGTGTGTGTGTGTGTGTATGTGTGTATGTGTGTATGTGTGCATGGTCAAGGTCGACGTGTGTGTCACTGTGTGTGTGTTGGTATTTTTTTGTGTTCGTGGGTCTGTTGGTGTCTCAGTTGTTGTGACAAATCTACACGTGACATTGAGCATGGTCTAATAAAGCCCCACTTTGCTCGCACGCAGCATTTTCAGGTGCTTCTTCTTTCACTGTTTTGTTTTCAGACTGTCCAACCTCCTGGCCACCCCAAATCTGGACACCCTCTAAATTTTCTTTTCTTTCTATAACTGAAAAGATCTGAATGCACCCGACGTGATACAGGTGGGCATAAAGCTGCCATGGCAGCCAACAAAATGTGCTATCGGGTACTACTGCCAGTACTGGGTGGCAGGCCGCATGAACATGAGCTCGCGAGCTCGGTGTAGGATGAGTGCACGAATCAGCCATCTTTTCCGTGTGATCAATCGTGATCTGTTGTCGGAGTCAAGACGTGAAAAGTGGGACAACGGTGTCGATATTTCATGGAAGTCGGGACAAACGGCGCCCGGATGAGGACCTCGGCAGGACGCAGGACAATTTCTCTCAAATCTGGACTGTCCAGACGAGGTCTGGACGGTTGAACAGTCTGTGTTTTCCTTCATTTGACTACACCTAGAGCAATGACTGCCGATATGCCAATAATACGCAGTGTAGCCTGAGTCTGCCAGAGGTAATGACAGTGCACTGCTGCTGTGCATCACATGGTAACCAGGTCTTTTCTTAGCATGCTCAATGGTGTCACGGTTCCATGCCAAAGATCAGAATCACAACTAAAATACACAACACAAGACATGCAAAAACATGATGTGGAAGAGTTTTTACCTTGAAGTTTCCTGTGGAGGTAGCAGATCGACTGAATCTGTCCATAAATCCGGTACGCCACTCAGACTAACGGCCTCGCCGCAAGGTGGTACTTGAAGCGTGCATCCGCACAGGGAATTATTTATATAAAGATACGAAAATACTCCTTCTTTTGCGAAATGGACAATGTAACTCGCTTGTGTGTAAGTAGTTAGTTGTAGTGGTAAAAGACAAAACTACCGAAACGTCGATCAGAACGGTAAGCCGCAAACGTTCACGCACTCAGGATTGTCAAACGGACGTTCTGCATCACCTGATCACGACAACCATGCTTCATGGCATAAATGTTTCCACCGAGCCATAGCCTAGATTATAGATAGGCCACAGTAAATCATAAAAAAACGGTCTCAATGTTTCACTCTGGGGTTTGGCAAGTGTCATAACCATGTGCATGATGATGACGTTCCCCGGCCCGGTCAACGAAATTAACGAAATCATGCACTACAAGTACATAATTATCATTACAACTACATGTAATTACTTACAAATACAAGACTAGTTCAGTGATGTAGATACAGTTTATATCTACCTGTTGTACCTATGGCTATGCACAGATCTACAGACAGTAAGATATTAGTTAGTACCAGGGAGTCGTATAGACTCTATACGACTCCCTGGTTAGTAGATCTACGTCTACCATGGTCTACACTACATATACAGGGTGCATTATGCATAGGTCGCAAACGACCACAGACCCGTCGTAAAAAAGACCGTACTTTACGGCTGCATTACATGGGCTGGTACTTACTTGGTAGTGACTGGGAGATCTACCGAGAGGCACGTTTGCTTGCACCTGTGACTTGGTCTTGGACCCACTGACTTGGTCATGGACCATCCGTCGTGAAAGGCGGCAAATCATGATCAGCAGCTGCCGTCTGTTCACGTGGTTCAAGCTCTAGCTCAGTTATGCGGTGCAGAGCCGGACAAAATCGACCTGAATGGTATGGCACAACAACAATCCTTTTTCGCTTGGAGTCCTGGAGGCCGCTCATCCAGAAATTCTGCCTCGTGTTCAGCTCTCAGATCATCACCAGGCCACGACACGCGCGGTAGATCTACTGAGCCTTGCTGCATCATGACAATCCCGAAACTACGAAAGAACCCGACTCCCATATGATTCGGTTTGTTTGGGCGGAGGTTTTACTGCTACTGCTGCTGCTGCTCCGGTCGTAGTGGCTGGAGTGGAAACAGAGGCTGAGCCAGAGTTTGGCGCAGTCGTCATTACGTCTTCGCCCTGACCGTTAGGATCGGTGCTGCACTGTCGCCTGTCGTCGGTTGTTGGGATTAGTAGGAGGCGTAGATTACAGCACGGCAGAGTGGAGCTACCATACACAAAAATGTCGAGTAAGGACAAGACGCCGCTCCTGGATGATGCTCCGGACCGCGCTGCGACAGCATTGATTGGAGAAGGTTAGGAAGGGCTGAGCAGCTCTGCCATTGCTTGCGCACCAGATCACCAGATCACTATCGTTAGTGACGATTTTCATTTCGGCACTGCATGATTTCTTACCGCAATGATCTGCAGGCTTATTAGTATTATTACAACGGTGCGCTAGTAGGTCTACTCAGCTTGTATTGGTGTTCGTCCGAATGGGCGAACAGTTGCCGTACTACACATAGTGCGCGCAGTAATGAGTCCAGGGACATACATGACATTGTAGTCAAATGCAAAGCTACAACTACTTGTAGTCGAGGTAAAACACAGTCTAATCCGACCAGCCTAGGCCTAACTGAGTAATGTAACACAGGTTAGTAGAGCAAGTCCCAAATTTAATAATATTCGCGGGATCCGCGTCGGTATCGCTTGAATGTTCAGAAACACACAAACTAGCCTTCGCATCCGCAGGCCACCACTATGCCTGTTCACCTTAGTGGCGAATGCAGACCTCACAAGTGGGTCAGGGGAGAGGAGGTTAGTCTCTCAACCAATCGGTCGTGTAACGGCCCATAACCCTGTAAACTGCATCCGTGTTATTCTCACTCAGAGCTGTGAGTACCCAGTTGACCGTGGGTGTCAGCGCAGTTCAACACGCGTAAGAAGTCTTTTTACACGCTCCCTGCTACCAGCGCGGGTCTTGAACTCGGGACCTCATGATTCGCAGGCAAGTCTGCAAACCAATCGGCCATATGCGAATTTAACGATTCCAAAATTCTTTTAATAGAACTCAGATGGTGAGCCAAGGAAAAAATTGTAACATGGAAAAATACGGGCACAAGTTATGCGGACGAGTCAACCAACAAAACCAACCAGATCTTGAACAATCAGACGTGCACAATATAGTGCAAAACTGACGAAGAGTACTGAGACATTCTACAGCATGAAAGTCAGCTTGAGCACTGCTAGATAGTGCTAACCAACGGCCTTTCCAACTTGGACTGACTTTCATGCCGTAGAATGTCTCAGTACTCCTCGTCAGTTTTGTGCCATATTTTGCACGTCCGACTGTTCAAAATCTGGTTGTTTTTGTTGGTGGACTCGTCCGCATAACTTGTGCCCGTATTTTTCCATTCCAAAAATCTTTGGTAAATTTTGAAGGCGAATTATGGTCTAGAATGAAAATCTCACTACTCATAGTCTCCAGGGTACTGAGTCGAATAGTCTTGGTCTGAGGAAGCTGAGACACTCCCTTCCTCCTTATTCCGAATCGAACTCGCCACTTCCACCGAAACTAGGTGACTGCGCCCTACTAGATGAGGATTTATATGCAAAATGTCACTAACAGTGCCATTTCGTTCTTATAAGGCCACCTAGAATTAATTCGTTGCTTCGGGTCACTTCACTCATCCGTACCAGGGTCGGTCGGTCGGGTTTATTTTTTTAATTTTATTATACTTTTTTTATTTTGGTTACTGCACTGCCATGTATATGTGCATACATGTATATCGAATAGCTTTTGTCCATCAAGTCAGTTGATCAAATCATGGCTGTAGATGATCCAGCGCAGTCATTGTCCCATCAGATTCAGGTCCCCTCCAGGACCAGACCTTGGTCTCGCTGGCAAACGAGTCTGAGGAGCAGCTCTCACCTTGAAAACGTCTGTCAAAGAGCAACGCGGTGGCGGAGCTGATGCTGTTTCAGGACCGATTGCGGATCGGAGATACGTGTAATGATAGAAGACAATATCGTCACCAAGCGCTGCATCCTGTCATTTTATTTGGCTGCTTCTGAGGTCGATGTCTGGACTGCTATTATTAGGCGGGTGTGTACAGTCGACATGTCAGTACATAGTCTAGTCATGTACATTTGCATGCACTATAAAAAAATTTGCGGTCGGGTGAAAAAAGATGGACGGTCGGGTGACCTAAAGCAACGAATTAATTCTGGGTGGCCTAAAGGCACGGATGAACGAGATTATTGGCCCGTATGTTGTAGTCAGTTGGACGCTGGGTCGACTGGTTTTGGTCCGAGAAGACTGCAATGCAGTTTTCAGCCCTTAATCCCCATCGAACACGGTTGAGTAAGCGATCACGTGCTGATGCGTACACCAGTCACCTGGTCACCGCGCCCACATGCTACAACATCCAGCCTGTTTAGCTCGCGTTTCTGCCACTCGAGTTGAGCCTTGGTATCAAGTCTGTGGAGTTCCTGCCTTGTGTCTGCTTGTATATTAACCCTTGTCTGTGCTTCAGCACGGCAACGTTTGTGAGGTCACAAATATGTGACGTTTAGCTGTGCATATGACTGTATGCTCCTGTGAATACTTGCTGTTGGTTAAAACCGTGAAACCCAGAGTTATAGCTGAAACGCTTTTGATTCCTCTCAAGTGTGTGTTCCTGTGAATATGTGTGTAATTGTCGCATGCCGGTGCATGTGCTTTCATGCTACTTTATAACGTGTGTCTTCAGATGAGACGGCAGATGCAACAAGTCAGCCGCTTATGTCGGGAAATGGTTCAGCCGCAGATGCCAGTGCTGCATCACAGTTCAATATTCCCATGAAGAAGGCTAGAGTGCAGGCTGTGGAATGGAAGTATGAACAAGCCGCTATCTACATGTTTGAAGGAAAAGATCATTCCAAGTTCGAGCATCATCCTCGCACACCTGAAGCGGTGGTGGCTTATCAGTAAGTGATATTACTAACATTGTATCACACTGATGGTTTCAGAGTGCCTAAAGGGAAATGTCCTTGTAGTGTCAGAGATACATGTATCACAGGGTTCCAGCTCAGAGAGAGGGGGGGGGGGCTGGTGTGTTCTCCCCACTATGTGCCTAGTCGCTAAGGCCAGGGTCTGAGCTGCAGGGTTTAGCTTATAGTGTAAGATATCTTTATTCCCGTAGCTATGCAGAAGACGTTACTTCAGTAACGTCTGGCGCTAGCCAGGGTCCACACAGCTTTAATTTGGTATCTGTTTGTTTGTGTGTTTGTTTGTTTGTTTGTGTCACGCCTGGCGCTATCCGTATCTGACGGCAAAAAAGCATAGGATGTTATAAATTTTTCAATTCTCCTATTTTTTTTCAGGCATATCCTGGGATTCGAACCCGCACTATCGCCCTACATGCATTCCCCCATACACTTCGCATTCATACCCATTCTTCCAAGTTGCTTCACGTTATTATCTTGCGTTTGAAAGCCCTATTTGAATATTGCGGGCAGCTGTGTTTGATGGTACGGTACGGT